CCTCTCTCTCTCTCTCTCTCTCTCTCTCTCTCTCTCTCTCTCTGTCTCTCAGGTTATCTACCTGTTTGCGTCTACCTTCTATATTGCTCGTGTTTCATCCTACCTCCCTCTCTTTGGTCCTTTGCTGCATCGATTGCATGGGATACAAACCCGAGTTAGTGGATGAAGAAAGGGCTGCCCATTTTTATAATCTCTTCTTTTACCAGATCTAAAATTTGGTTGAAGTCTCTCTCTTCCCTTTTTCTCGATGTGTTAGTATAAAAAAATTCCACGCTCAAAGAAAAAGAGAAGAGAAAGAAAGAGGAAGAGAATGAGGCTTCCAACTGTGATCTCCTCGCTTTTTCTCTCCGCACCCACGCTCGTATATAGATATCACAATCCCGCTTCATCAGATGTCAGATACTTCAGAGCGATGATTAGTGATCGATGATTTCAAGTGAATTAGTGCCTCATATCAGAGGAGCAATAGCGATAGCATACGGAGAAATCACGAGAAAACTGAAAAGATTGATGGATAGTTTAAACTGAACTGAACTGATGTCTATTGCGCAATGATTTAATATGCAACTTTAGTCGACTCGATCAATGAATCACGTAACGTCCAAGGTTCATCCAGCAATTTAACAAATATTTGCGGCCTCGAGTCAACTGGTAAATATTGCTTCATCATTTGATCGCGCGTGGCATTTCCTTTTCGACGAATCATACATAATTCATAAATACTATAAACTCTTTACCTATCTCCTCTCGTAACGGTCTATTTATAGAATACTCTCTAAGTACTTTTACAATCTCTTCTATCTACGAAGGAGGAATACATGCTCATTAAGAGATTTACGTAAGTGGTAATGTTTATCCGATCGAGGCGCTCATTAGAATTGCAGACTTTAAAAAATTCTTAAGAGAGTGACAAATCATGAATAAATTATTTGAGAGGATTTCTCTAGAAAATAAGAAATTAACGCGAAAACGGGTTTATTTTCTCGGGACAGGAAGCCTGCCATTTCATAGCGGCGTACACATCACCGAGGGAAGTTCAATCTAATCAAAGTAACGGCTTGTAGCGATTGCCGGACAATGCGCTCTGAAGTTCGTGGAAACGCATTTACATAACTTAACATATGTAAGGTGCCTGGGTGACTAATCGCGGGCAAAAATACGGAAAACCGGAAGGGACTCTAGATGAAGTGCAACGACGTTGAAATCAAACACATTGAGAAAGTGCACGCTGTCGATAACGAAACTCGCACGAAGGCTCGTACGAAGCAACTGCTGGCAAGTTGTAAAATGTAATGCCTTTCTTGAAATTAGAAAGTTTTAATATTAAATTTCGCAGGAATTGGAAAATAAAAAACTTTTCTACAAATGTATCTGTCTAGTAAGAACGCTTATTCACAGTTTTATCATGCGAAAATAAATCGTAATGTTTCAAATAAAAAAGAGACAAAATGCTAGAAGAATATAATACGACAAAAAATGATATAAATTTTTTGTCGTATTATATTCTTAAAAACTGCTTGTGTGGGAATGACAGAAATAATATACTGCTGCTAAACAATGAAATTGTTCATGTCGATGTTGATGTCGTTTCGTCGCCATTTGCGTGCAGAGCGGAACTTAATTTTTGAATTTTATCCATACAACATTAGCCAAGCTTGAAATAAGTCTTAGAAACTCCTTTGGCGTGATTATCTTTTTTATCATTGTACTATAGTGGTCTATAGTGGTTTATAAGATAAAATATAAAAAAAGATTTATGTATAACGCAATATAAAATTATGAATGAAAATGGTATGAGTAAAAATTAAATGTACAACATAGAAAAAAAATAGATAATGAGATAACTTGCTTTCTGTTTTCTTCTGAAATCATATTTTCAAATAAAGTATTATCAGCAGTGGTACGTGTACAAAATAAATAATTAATAATGCTAAAACATAAATAAATTATAAATTATAACTTTATATGTCAGCAATATTCATAAGAAATCTAATACAAAACGCAACTGGTTTGCTATCGATTTAAGTTAACTTAACTTAAGAACTTAACTTAACTTAAGTTAACTTAAGAAAGACATGCAAGAAATTGATATGTAAGGAGCATTAAGACTCACCCGCAACCCTGACATTTCGCCGATCTGCGCGAGGTCATGCGATTTAATTTACATTATTCCTGTTAGTATACCTTGATAGTTCCTGATTTTCACTTTCTCTTACAATAGTCATTAACGAAAATAACTTGTACGTAAATTTATTTTTAAAAGTTACGTTTACAATGAGAATAAATAAAGATCCTATTGACACTGAAACTTTGAATAAATAACAAAAAAATGAGAAATCATATCGATATTATGGAAAGAATTATTATTATATATCTTAAAAAATATATATATAAATTATTATATATAACAATTATTTTCTATATCAAGAAAGCAATAATACTGAACAACACACTAAATAAAATAATTATTAATTTATAATTTCGTAAACATTTGTAATTAGGATTTATTGATTTGAAATGAAACTACGATAACTCAGGGAACATATAACTTGGAAGTTATGTAGCTTCAATAGTTCGGTAACAGATTGCAGCACTTTATAGCAACTTCATAAATGCCTAAGTGATTTAATTTAATGTTATGTTACGATAGAGTATTCTTTTTAAAATTACTCTTTACGATAATGTTGATTATTATTTTAGGTCATCAAAAGTAAATGTACACTTGAGGCTATGAATGCTTTAATATATGGGTCTTATCGTAATTAATTAAATGTTAATATTCATTTTATATAATATTATGTAAATTGCATTAATTATGAAAGTAATAATGAAATCGGATGTACTTGTAATTATTAATGATCGTTTTTTGCTGTGAAAGTTGAGATTACGAACTAATGCGATTCACTTGATTAGTAGGTCTCGGAAGTTATGCTGCGGAATTGATATGTGTGCTATTAATGAATAAAATACGAGCATCCTACTTTATACATCAACAGCTCCTAAATACCGAAGTATCTCGGATAAATTATTTTAACGTTATATCAGTATTAAATTATGGACGTAAGAAATAAGTAGATCTTGATTAAAATCCAAATTATAAAAATCGATATAAAAAATAAAGGCACGAATATGTTATGCAATAAGAATCCATCATACGGGCGGAAAAGTATATTAATATGGAAAGCGAAATAAAAGATAGCAAGCGTGTGAAAGTATGTGTATTTCATGAGAATGAAAATGTATATTTAGTATAAGAAAGTTTAAATTAATAAATTAGAATAAATATAAATAGAGTGAAAATTTATATAGCTATAAGGATAATAAGAATTTGTGATACATAAAGAAAACACGGAAATGCATTATATCAAAGACAAAAATATCGCAATATAACGCAATATTAATTTTTATTAAAACATGTTCAATTAAGTTCAAAATTTAGAATGTTATTATTATCGTATAAAACAGCCAAAGTTAAGATTTAATTTCATCGATTGTCTCATAAAGATAGTTATTGCCGTGATACACAAGCAGTCATATAACGACAGCAGGTAAAAACGGATTGTAGACAAAAATGCAAACTCATAATCACTCTATAATTTCACGGAAAATATGCTTGTTCCGTATAAAAATGACTAACGCGAACAGAAGAGGGAAAGGGGAACAACAATTAAAATAAAATTTTAATTATTAATAAGTCCATTCTTTTTTTTTCCACGATTTTCCATTCACCTGTCGTTACACACGCTACTTCTTTCATCCACGTAACTTCTGCGCAAACTCTACTCTGCTCTGACACTATCACCCATGAGGAATAAATTCCGTAGTATCGAATCAGTATAGCGGCGAGCGTTTAACGCGATGCTGCTATGCAGTATACTGCGTGGAGCGCTATCCGCGTCTTTAGGCACCGTCGTGCAGATTGCGATCTTCTTGCTGCAAAATTCCAATATCTCGAGAGTGCTCGCATCTATGCCACCAGGAGCCGGTTAGTGCGCTTTCCGAAGTAGTTCACTATACAAAGATAAAC